GGGGGGACATGGGGGGGACATGGGGGGACACGGCTGGAGGGGAACAGCCGCTCTGGGGGCTGAGAACAGCTGGTTGGGGGCTGAAAACTCCCGTTCTGGGGGGCAAAACAGCCGCCCGGGGGGCGCAACACCCCCCAACACCCGCTGCGGGCCTGAAAACCCCCGGTGGGGCAGYGGGAAACACCCAGCGGGGGGGCTGGGCCGGTCCCCTTGGGTGGGTGTCCGTGCGGCTGAYGCTGCTTCCCGCCTGTTGCCATCCGTGACCCTGTTGCCGCCTGTGACCTCCTATTGCTGCCTGTTGCCGACCTTGACCGCTCGCCGTCGCCTGTTGCCGACCTTGGCCGCCTGTTGCCACCCACCACCGCCTGTTGTGATCCTTGGCCGCCTGTTGTGATCCTTGACCACCACCACCGCCCGTTGCCGACCTGGTCTGCCYGTTACCAACCTGCTCCACCCATCGCCGCCTGTTGCCGACGTTCTCCGCCTGTTGCCGCCCGCAACCGCCCGGCCCTGCCTGTTGCCCATGTCGCCTGCCTGTTGCCAACGTGGCCCGCCCGCCGCCGCCCGGGACCCCCGCGGCSGCCTGTTGCCGACACCGYGGCCGCCTGTTGCCGACACCGCGGCCGCCCGCGGCCAGTTCTACCTGCGGGAGGAGGACGTGGGCCGGGGCCGCGCGGAGGCGACGCTGCCGCGCCTGGCCGAGCTCAACTCCTACGTGGCCGTGAGCAGCTGCGAGCGGCCGCTCAGCGAGGCGCTGCTGGCCGCCTTCCAGGTACCGCCGCGCGGCTACAGCCCGCCACGCCGCCTGGGCGCGGGCTGTGCCGCCCGCCACGCCGCCTGTGCCGTGACTGCTTGTTGCCCCACCTGCGTGTTCCTGTGTTCGCTTGTTCCCCTGGCTGCTTGGCCGCCTGTTCCCGCGGCTGCTTGTTTGTGCGTCTGCTTGTACCAGTGCACGGTTGTTCTTGAGTTTGTTGGTCCCGTGTGTGCTTGTTTGTGTGTCCGCCGGCTCCTGTGGCCGCCTGTTTGTGTATGTGTCAGCGTTTGCAGTTGGTTCATCCTGCGGTCACTGGTGTCTGTGTCAACCCGTTCCTGCGGCTGCTCGTTCCCGTGTGCGGCGGTTCTTGAGTTTTCGTGTTCCCGCGTCTGCTTGTTGTTGTGCCCTGTTGTTTGTTGAGTTGTACGTGCTTTGTCTAGCTGTTCCTGTGGTTCTTTGTTCCCATTTCTGTTTATGCGTCGTCTTGTGGCCGCTTGTTTCCGTGTTTATTTGYCGTTACGCTTAGTTGTTGCTGCGTCCGCCTGTTGCTGCGGCTGCTTGTTCTCGTCTCCGCTCGTGCCTGGGTTGTGTTGTTCGGTGTCCGCCTGTTCCTGCGTTTCCCCCCTGTTCTGGTGCCCGGGTGTTTCTGTGCCGCTGTTCCCATGCCGTGTGCACTTGTTCCCGTGTCTGCCTGTTGCTGGGGTGGCCTGTGCTTGCGCTGACGCCTTCCAGGGAGTTCTGCGCTTTCAGTGTGCCTGTCTCCCGCGTCCGCCTGTTCCTGTGTCTCGTTGTTTCACRTCCCCCTTCCTTCGTGTTCGCCTGTCCCATGTCCGCCTGTCTCCACGCTGCCCATCTTTCCGAGCATCCCCATTTCCTCGCGTCCGCCTGTTGCCGCGTCCGCCTGTTGCCCTGCCCGCCCCTTCCTGCATCCCCCSCTCCCGCGTCTGCCTGTCCCCGCGCTCCCCTGCCCCTACAGCCGCTTGTTGCTGTAGCTGCTGGTTCCAGGGCGCGTTGTTGCTGCTTCCGCCTGTTGGTGCCTCACGTCCGCGCCCCTCCCTGACCTGTCCCCTCGTCCTCCGCCTGTTGCGTCCGCGCTGCCTGTGCCCCCTCCCCGGGCGGGCAGCGTGCCGCCTGTTGTCGCGCAGCGCCGCCTGTCGTGACGCGTGCCGCGCCGCCTGTTGCCGCGCCGCGCCGCCTGTTGTGACGCGTGCCGCGCCTCCTGTTGTCGCGCCGCGCCGCCTGTCGTGACGCGTGCCGCGCCGCCTGTTGTCGCGCAGGTGGTTGTTCTCACCAACTCGCCGCTGGAGGAGCAGCTCTGGGTGGGCGACTTCTGCCACAGCCGCGGCATCAAGCTGGTGGTGGCCGACACGCGGGGGCTCTTCGGGTGAGCCGGACGCCGGGGCCCGTCGGGGGGTCCCCCGGACGCCGGGGCTCTTTGGGGGGTCCCCCGGACGCCGGGGCCCTTGCTGAGCCCCCCGCTACAGGCAGCTGTTCTGTGACTTCGGGGACGACATGGTGGTGACCGACACCAACGGGGAACAGCCGCTCAGCGCCATGGTCTCCATGGTGACCAAGGTACCGCCATTCCCCGGACGCCTGGGCCCCGCCCCCCGGCTCGGGGCGGCTCCCGGACGCCTGGGCCCCCCCGCAGGGCTGCCCCGGCGAGGTGACGTGCCTGGACGAGGCGCGGCACGGCTTCGAGAGCGGCGACTTCGTCACCTTCGCCGAGGTGGAGGGCATGGAGGAGCTCAACCGCTGCGGCCCCGTGGAGATCCGCGTGCTCGGTGCGCCCGCACGCCGGGGCCCGTGGGGCGGGCGGGGGGCGCCCGGACGCCGGGGCCCCTCGGGACACGTGGCCCCGCCCCCCCGCAGGCCCCTACACCTTCAGCATCGGCGACACCAGCGGCTACGGGGACTACGAGCGCGGGGGGGTCGTCACGCAGGTCAAGATGCCCAAACACGTCGCCTTCGTGAGTGCCGCCACGACGGGGCGCGCGGGGACACGCGTGACGCTGCACGCGCGGGGACACGCGTGACGTTGAGCGTGTGGGGACACGCGGGGACACGCTCTGAGCATGCGGGGACACGTGTGACGCTGAACACGTGGGCACACGCGTGACAACACGCAGTGCCACGCGTGTTAGCGTGCTCTAGCGTGCGCTGACGCCGGGTACCGCGCTCTGAACGGTGACGTTGTGCAACGCGGGCTGACACGCTCTGACACGTGGGAACATCTCTCCCCCCCGTGTCCCCCCGTGTCCCCCCGTGTCCCCCCCGCAGAGGCGGCTCCGCGACGCCCTCCTGGAGCCCGAGTTCGTCATGAGCGACTTCTCCAAGACGGAGCGGCCGCTGGCGCTGCACCGCGGCTGGCAGGCGCTGCACGCCTTCGTGCGCCGGCGCGGGCGGCTCCCGCGCGCCCGCCACCAGGTACGCGCGTGAGACACGCGTGTGACATGTGAGCCACGTGTCCCCATGTCCCCAGTGTCCCCCCCGTGTCCCCAACGTCCCCCCCGTGTCCCCAATGTCCCCACGTCCGCAGGGCGACGCGGACGAGGTGCTGGCGCTGGCGCGCGAGCTGTTCCCGGGCGCGGAGCTGCCGGCCGAGCTGCTGCGGGAGCTGGCGCTGCAGGCGAGCGGCGACCTGGCGCCCGTCAACGCCTTCATCGGCGCCCTGGCCGCCCAGGAGGTCATGAAGGTAGCGCCGGCGCGCGGAGACACGGACACGCGGCAACACACGGAGACACGGACACACCGACACGCGGACACACGCACCCGGGCCCTCCCGGACACCGGGACCCCTGCCCAGC